GAAATAAGTAAGTAACATTGAGGTTAATGGCTTCATGTGATTCATATAAAAAAATGTACAATTGTATTGCTCCCCGAAAGACTTAATTGCCCATCCCTTCAATTAAATTACACGTAATAGAGGATACATATTGGTATTTTTATGTTGTATTCTGGGTCACGTTACTTACTGATCAGTTTATTCCTAAAATATAGATGTTTTTATTGCTGTGTTGTATTCCGGGTCACGTTACTTACTGATCAGTTTATTCCTAAAATATAGATGTTTTTATTGCTGTGTTGTATTCCGGGTCACGTTACTTACTGATCAGTTTATTCCTAAAATATAGATGTTTTTATTGCTGTGTTGTATTCCGGAACACGTTACTTACTGATCAGTTTATTCCTAAAATATAGATGTTTTTATTGCTGTGTTGTATTCCGGGTCACGTTGCTTACTGATCAGTTTTATTCCTAAAATATAGATGTTTTTATTGCTGTGTTGTATTCCGGGTCACGTTACTTACTGATCAGTTTTATTCCTAAAATATAGATGTTTTTATTGCTGTGTTGTATTCCGGGTCACGTTACTTACTGATCAGTTTTATTCCTAAAATATAGATGTTTTTATTGCTGTGTTGTATTCCGGGTCACGTTACTTACTGATCAGTTTTATTCTTAGAGAATACATATTGGTATTCTATGTTGTATTACGGTCACACTATTTGCTAAATTATATAGCATATTATTTTATTATTTACCTAAAAATTGCTGACTTGTTGGCATTTTGGTTTTTGCCTTCATGCATATTTTTTATTTAGTATAGGAGTATCAGTAACTGCATATCATTTCCAAATGTCAAGGCACTGTAATTAATTAATATGTAGTTAACAATTACCTCAGTGTGTGACATAAATGAATAAAATATAGAAATAACTAAACTAAAGAAACTTAGCAATATATAATCGTGGTATATTGTCTTGTTTCCTTGCAGGTTAGACAATGTTATTATTCATGTTGGAGGAAATAATTTACGCGAGGCCAAGGAATTGGTGAGCAGATGTTTTATTCTTGAGATGCATTGGTCATGTATAATAATCTATCATGCGGTAATAATTAAGGCCACGGTTTGGAATGTTATTTTTGTTTACATTGTAATAACCTCAACATATGAACTATTTTACAGGCTCATCATGCAGAGCAAATTGGTGCTAATGCCATCAGCTCCCTTCCAACAGTGTTTTTGAAGCCCAAAAATGTTCGTAAGTGTTATCGGGTTGGAGACTATTTATATTTATGCAGCATAAAGTTATATTCTGAGACCAAAATCCTTCTTGGGAAGCGTCTTTGACCCAAGAAGCTTTATGTGCAGCTTTGGAATTATTATTGGAATAATTTAATTGCCTGAATTTGCATGAATTGTGAGAAATCTATGTGAACCGCGCACGTTTTAGTGATGTATGAATGTTGGTGATTCTTTCAGCATTCTATATGATTTTTCAAATGTATTCATTAATACTTTTCAAGTACATGGATTTACACAAATTCTTGATATGTCCATAGTATTCTAAAGTTCATGCATTCATAAAGGTTCACATCAGGTCCATAGTGTTCTGAAGTGGATGGATTCATAAAGATTCATCCCAGGTCCAAGGTCTTCAGTATTAAACAGGAAACATATGTTGACAAAGAATATTTTTGTCATCAGAAGCACTGGTTGAGTACTTGAGAGAATTGTCAGAAGCAGCTCCTACATTACCGCTGTATTATTACCATATACCATCATTGTCTGGTGTGAATTGTAAGTTGTTATGGGTTTATATTACTTATATACTGTCTGTTGTGAACTTCAAGTAATAATAAAATATACAGTCTTACCTAAACTGAGCACCAATGAATCCTTGTTTTTTATTGTATTGTTTTTGCAGTATGCATGGAAGAACTACTTGATGCAATTGGTGACAGTATACCAACATTCCGTGGTATGAAATATACTGCTGCAGATTTACATGACTTTGGACGATGTATCACCCATAGCAATGGGAAATATGATATGCTGTATGGTAATGATGACGTAAGGGCGTCCTCTTGTTTTAGACAGAACTCATTACCTACTTACTACATCAGAATAGAATAAATGAATAGAATATGTGTGATTTTAGACATACATACCATGGCTATGTTATTCACTGATGACATATGAGAACTACACATGGTAAATCACTTGAACACCTCATATGACAATGGGGGCCTCTTAAGATAGATAGAATAGAATATCATGTAAGCTGGTGTTTGTTATAGTAATGAAGGTAACCTGATCTCATTTATGCCTCCCATATTTGCTCCATTAGAAGAGTGTCTCCAGTAGAGCCTTATTCAATCACGTTTTACATGTATAATCCTGCACTACCCAAATACACATACACATTAACTCTCTGCTGTTAGATTCGGTAAAAAAAAGTATGGTAGACTGACATCAGTGAGGGCTACATTCTTTCATTATCACTGTTTTGATGTAATAAATACCAAGTCCATGCACCATAATTTTTTTGATGCACTAGTTACCAGGATACTTGTATCATCACTGTTTTGATGCACTAGTTACCAGGATACTTGTATCATCACTGTTTTGATGCACTAGTTACCAGGATACTTGTATCATCACTGTTTTGATGCACTAGTTACCAGGATACTTGTATCATCACTGTTTTGATGCACTAGTTACCAGGATACTTGTATCATCACTGTTTTGATGCACTAGTTACCAGGATACTTGTATCATCACTGTTTTGATGCACTAGTTACCAGGATACTTGTATCATCACTGTTTTGATGCACTAGTTACCAGGATACTTGTATCATCACTGTTTTGATGCACTAGTTACCAGGATACTTGTATCATCACTGTTTTGATGCACTAGTTACCAGGATACTTGTATCATCACTGTTTTGATGCACTAGTTACCAGGATACTTGTATCATCACTGTTTTGATGCACTAGTTACCAGGATTATTGTATCATCACTCTTCTCTACGTGCCCGGCTTCTTACTTCATTGTGTTTTTTTTCAGTCCATCTTAGCGGCACTATCATTTGGAGGAAAAGGATTTGTTGGAGGGTAAAATCTTATGTATTTACATACATTTTGTTTAAGTGTTACAAGCATTCTACAGGTTTTAATTTGTGTTTTATTTTATTGATTAATAATACTCCATGATGGCTTAGAGATACTAAATATTTGAATCTGCACTTTTGTTAAATTCTAATAAGATGTTTATAAGATTTGTACTATTGGATTCTTTAGAATATCTTTAGTATTTCTAAAAGAATATTTATAATATTTTAATATTCAATAAATGTTCTATTTCCAATAGTATTAGGTTTGTGTCTAAGTACCCCGTAGTTTGGTCATCAGAATATCCAGAACCCCTAACTAGTGTTCCACAACTTCAAGTAATCTTCTCTCATACAGTTGCGCCATTTTTGAAGACAGCTACTGAATAATTATTCAGCCAATTAATACTGTTTATTGAGGGAATATTGAGCCTCCCAAACCTAAAATTTGTTGATAATATAATTCAATTCCTGGAATAATAAATAATAATAATTTGAACTTGCAGTTCTATAAGATCCTGAAGAGGTTATGCAGAAGTATAATACATTATTCTTATTTCTTGTTGACAGTACATACAACTATTCTGGAAAAATGTGCAATCGTGTCATTGATGCCTTCAATAAACGGGATCTTGAAACTGCCAGGTCAGAAATGGTAAGGATTACAAAAATAATACAGTGCAAATAATATAAATAATGTTGGCGTAATCGTTTTGGCGCATGTATGTTCTGTATCACTCTATTTCTGGCATAGAACTCGCTGTGAAATTAGTAGTGTTTATCGCTATGTTTCAAGTTTGGTGGCTTCAGTATTTTATTATATGAATTTGGCGTCACATCTGTGGGTAGTTGAAAGTGACATGTGGCTGAATTTGACATATGTTGGTGTCACAACACATCTATGTAGCAGAATTTGACATATGTTGGTGTCACAACATATCTATGTAGTAGAATTTGACATATGTTGGTGTCACAACACATCTATTTAGTAGAATTTGACATATGTTGGTGTCACAACACATCTATGTAGTAAAATTTGACATATGTTGGTGTCACAACACATCTACTTAGTAGAATTTGACATATGTTGGTGTCACAACACATCTATGTATTAGAATTTGACATATGTTGGTGTCACAACACATCTATGTAGTATGATTTGACATATGTTGGTGTCACAACACATCTATGTAGTAGAATTTGACATATGTTGGTGTCACAACACATCTATGTAGTAGAATTTGACATATGTTGGTGTCACAACACATCTATGTAGTAGAACTTGACATATGTTGGTGTCACAACACATCTACTTAGTAGAATTTGACATATGTTGGTGTCACAACACATCTATGTAGTAGAATTTGACATAAGTTGGCGTCACAACACATCTATGTAGTAGGATTTGACATATGTTGGTGTCACAACACATCTACTTAGTAGAATTTGACATATGTTGTGTCACAACACATCTATGTAGTAGAATTTGACATATGTTGGTGTCACAACACATCTATGTAGTAGAATTTGACATATGTTGGTGTCACAACACATCTACTTAGTAGAATTTGACATATGTTGGTGTCACACTTATATATCCTGTTTATATATCCTAACATGAATGTCTGATATACCTTTCAGTTTAAAGTGCAAGCCTTCGTCAGTGTTCTAAATAAATATGGTAATAACTAAATCTCTTGACATTCAAGCAATTTTCAATTTATCACCTACACCTTTAATGACCTGGGTTAAAGCGGGAGGGTCGTCATCTGCACACGCGCGGGAATTGAGTCCCAAGCGATGATAACAACACACGCTAAGGACGCAAATGCGCTTGTTTGTAAACAATGACACGCTATGGCCACCTGGCGCATGCGTAGGTGACGACTCCACCGCTTTAAGCATATTTCTCAAGAATCAACTCTTAACTTATTTCTTGACTGATGTTTCATTAATAATAATAAAGAATCATTATAGGTGCCGATGTGGTTTGTTATTTACAGCCCATTATATTTTGGTTAATTTAATGACACAAATTGATTAATTAGACCTCAGATTTCTATAAGTTTGAAAAGTGTATTATTGTTCATCATTAAAAAAATTATTATTCCCATTCTTGACAATACCCCCAAACTATTCTCGTGATAGCAATTATGACATACGAGGGACACGTGGGGTTTTCTTTTTGTATTTCAACTTGACCACCTAAGAAATTATTCCTTCATTTATGTTCTTACTGATGGTTCTGTTTACAATAGTTTTAAATATATAAATTAGGCTTATTAACTGATTTAAGGTAGTGAGACTATTATTTGTGTTGAAAATTACGATTTTCACATTTATTTATTAATTGATGAAATGCACTATAAACTTTCATATGATAAAGTCAACATAACATAAAATGTCATGTAAGTTGGTTAAAATGTAGTTTTTCTGAAGGGAAGCAAGTCAGCCTCAGTAGTGTTTTCCAAAATCAACAATACAGGTTTAATCTGTGTGCCTATAAGTTTCAAAGATAAACTCAAGACAAAGCAATGTTAGGATGTGTTATCAGTAGCTTTCTCACAGACAATGAGTGTTTCCAAACACTTGAGTGGTTTGTCGCCGCCCCTGTCACAAATTAGCATTTGCATATGAATGTATCAGACACAAGGTCACGCAGCCACTGAAAAAAACATTGATTTTGGTGTTTTCATCTGCCGATTTTATCGAATTATAGCTATCCCATTCCTTTATTTGTTTTGTTTCCAATAGCATAACCCATTTAGATGCCCCTACATATGTTAAAACAGACTTTGAAGGGAAAACAAATCGATTGTGCCGATAAACAAGCTTGGAAATCTTTGCTGTGACTTCATGGACGTTTTCTAGGAGTTTATTTTTTTCAAAATACAAGGCCTTTAAACAAAAAATAACGTATACTTATTGTTGTCGGATTAACACCAAATTTTCACAGCTTTAAGGTGACAATGAGAGGAGCTTGAATGTGTCAAGACAAACTATTTCGTGGATTATTTACCAACGTGTTGTGGTTTGAGTTGGGGACAATGCGACTAAAACGGAAATTAAAATTCAGCACACTACTTTTTAAAACGCATTGCTTGAATAAAGCTGACAAGACACATTCAATTTACCAGACTATTGAACAACTAGGAAAAGTAAAAAACAAACTTCTTATCACCAGCATAAATGCGAAATTATTTTTTTTACAGAAAAAGTAATTTTTTACCTTTGATTGAGTAACGCATCGTAGAATGGAAATACGGGCATGAAAAACCACTTTTCAAAAGCTTGAAGTCTGGCGATTCCAAAAATATATACTTTCCTGAGTCTTTTTGTAGACATTTAGTCACAATTAGAAGATGAAAACAAGTATGCAAATAATAGTCCCGCTACCTTAACTCAAAATTTAATTTTTCTATTTGTTCATAGGTGGTTCTGCTGCCAATAAATGTATCATGGTCTTAAGTGGCCTAAATGTTGGACCACCTAGGTTACCGTTAATGGAGCTCACCAAGGAACAGCATGAAAATCTACAAAGAGATTTGAAAGCCACTGGGTTTTTTGACATTATTTAAAAGAAAATGAATTGTATTATTTTAAAATACAGTTGTACTCCCAATAAGACATATCAGTATTCTATAATTTAGGTTCAACAGATCATATCTCTGTGTTCCTTATATGAAATTAATTATAATATAAATAATAATAATAATTTGTTAATAATAATATACATATCCTATATCAAATTTAAAGTAAAGGGCAATTTGGGATATTGGACCTGGTCAAAATATGTAGCTGCCGCCCTCTAGTGCCAGGTTTGAATACTTTGATGTAACCAGAGTCCACAAAACAAACTTCACCTTTTTAGTGGTGTGTCATTTCGCATTGGTTTCATGAGTTTTAGGCATTTGTAGATTCCTTGTTGTGTTTGGGGATATGTATTTACATTCCGCGCCTCGTATTAATTGACAGTAATATTTACTTCGTGTTGTGTACTGAATACTTTAACTAGTTACTAATTTGGTCTTTGCAAGTGATTTTTTTGGCCTTTTTGTATCCATGTGCACTATTACTGTTTGATGGCACAGGAAATTAAAACTGTTTTTGTTAAGTCATTTTGAATTTTGAATTTGTTTGATTATTCCAAGGCTTTACAAGATTTATTTTGTTATCAAGAAATTTAGATGTTTTAGCAGATCGTACAAGCGATCATACGTACTGTTTGAGATTACAAGTATATCGATATTATAAAATAAATTGTGTTGTTACTGGACGTTATTCTTATTTGTATTTTGTTTGTATTTTTCATTTTAATCAGACAGTTATCAGACAGTACTCGGACAGTGCGCGGTCACATCGCTACTCGTCGGTCGATACTTTTGCTGTGTTGTCTTCGTGCGTACTTTGCATTATCCTCGTAATGACCTCATATTCATTTCTTGGTCAGTATTACCGGGGGGACGTAACATCTGCAACCCTTTACAGCGAGTATCGAAGTATGAGAAAGGGAAATTGACACTCTGTGTTACGTGTGGCTACAAACACTAATCCACTAACTACTTTAAAAAATCAGCCACGACATTTGGTTATGTGGGTAAAAGGTCATCTCAAGACAGCGCCCACACTATTAACCAATCAGCGACAAGAGGGTGCTATCTTTACTTGTCAATCATTAATCCAAGATGGTGACGTACGAAGTACTGTTCACAGTGGGCTGACTCAGTTTGTTGTGTCTTCCCCTCTCGTACCTTCGGTACTCGCAGATGTTACGTCGCCCCGGTAATACATACAAACTTTACAAGACCCTGTGCCACGTATAAGTCGCCGAGTCCCTGTGAACGACACATGGCTGTTTATAACTATATGCCACACAAAACGCCCAGTAATGCTACCCTTCTCTGACTGTTGTCGATTTCAGTGATGCAATCCGGGACGCAAGTTTACAAAAAAAAACAGTTATTGAGGATGAGCAACATTTTGTAATGAAATGTCCAGCTTACAGTCATCATAGGGACAAATTATTCCTCACTGCACAAAATAAAGTTCCAAATTTTGATAAAGAAAACAGTCAGAATAAATTCATATTGATGATGGGAAACCATACTCTAGCTT